ACCAGGCGATTCTGAGGCTTCGAATCCGTGGGGCCCTGTACTTCCTGCTCGCCCGAAGCGAGAAGCTTCTGATCTGAGACCCCCAAGCCTGAAGCCCTATATCACTTCTCGCCGAAGTCACAATGCTCCCGTGCCAGGAACCTCGTGACAAAGATGGCCGTGCATCAGACGAGAAGGGACGTCGCCGGAGCGCACCGGCGATTCAAAAAAAGGTCTGACGATGGATGCAAGATACATCCGTAAACACAACCCGAGCTAATCGTGGACTGCCTGAGCCCTGCAGACCCAAGCCGCTTTCGAATCTGTGACGTGAAGCCAAAAGCGTTCGTTATCTTTGCCGCACATGCCCCGGAAGCACCTGTGCGGCATGCTTGTCTGCTCAGTGTTGCTCGAGTTGTAAGTTGTTAGTTGTTAGCATAGCGCGAGACGATGCCGAACGGTAGTCGCCGCCGCGCAGATTATCGCTATGGACGCTGGGACCAAGGTGGCTATTGGCAGTGGACTCCAAGTACTCGCAGGCCCTCGCGAAGCACAAACTACAAAGCACTTGTTGTTAGTGGCTTCTTTGATCACGCTAATCTCGCCTCTCTTACGCTTGAACGGTCTAAGATATCTTAGGATGCTTCATGTTTTTTAGCGTGATGCCTGTTTTCGACTCCGTAGTGGCAGGCGAGAGCGGTGGGCAGGATCTTCGGCAACGGGAAGTTTCAACATGAACCGTGCCCAGCAGCTTCTTGGCCACTACCGCGTCGCAGGCGAGGAGCTCTACAACCAGGCAGTCCGTGGCAAGATGCCGGAGGAGTCCTTCCCAGCCATGGAAGAGTATGTCCAGGAAGCGCCTTGTGCGACATGGAACATGATGGGGAGTGCAGACCAGGGAATGCCTATGTACGACGCGTTCGGGCGTGGAGAAAGGCCTTACTTCATCAACGTTCCAGCGGCAGTTCCTCCTTCGCCCTCCGCGACCAGTACCGATGTAAACATGATCATGGAAAGTATTCGCCTCCTGCAAGCTATGGCACCGGAGCAAGCCGCAAAGATTCTGAACGATACGGCTGCCCTGCAGGGGCCATATGAAGACTGAAGACTTGAAGAGCAGCGAGCTCTTTGTCTGTACATGCGACGTTGTACATTTGTGGTAACCCTCAGTGGTGCCATTGCTCTGTGCAGTAATTCAGCAAAGCGACGTAGCACTGGATGGATTCCATCAACCATTGGCCCGACCGGGCTCTGCAAGCTGTCGAAAAGGAGCTGATTGCAAGTCTGCTGGAACGTCTGGTGGCTTCATAGTCATCAGAAGAGTCGTCCTCATCAGCACCAGCACTGTCAAGCACTGTCATTTAGCACGCCATGCCACGGCCATGCAAACGTCCTTCGGGTCTTACCGGCGGGAGGAGCACCCGCGAAGAAGAATCTGTTCTTCGAACGTCAGCAAGTCCTTGCTTACATGCAGCAGAACAGATACCCGCCAAAACCCCACCCAGCAAGACTGTATCAGTATCACAATCTTACGATCGTATTAAAAAATAAACCATGCATTTCTACACGCGTACATACGGCGTGCCTTGACCTTTGGATGTCTCAGATCAAAGCACTTGCAGAAGCTTCAGCCTGAATACTTGTAAAGGAGTTTTTGTGATTCGTTTCATCTAGGCCAGGATGCCACGAAGGCGCTCCGATCAGTGAACCCGCAAAGGTCCAGCGACTCGTCCGACGAGCGGGAATTTGTCATAAAGCACCGCTCGATTTTGAGAGATCTTTTGCTGCAGCGGCTCGGAGACACTGGCCTCTGCGCGCCTGCGCTCGCCATGGAGCCGGCTCCTCGGGTCTTCTTCGATCCGTCTCAGCGCTGTAATATAGGGGCCTTACTATTTTGGGGGTTCCTTAGTATAATTTTAGTACAGTGGCCCGCAAACCCTGCTCTAATCATTTTTAAGGCCCCTATATGACTACCCTGCTACATTCCGCCTCTTCAACCCTAAACCCTAAACCCTACACATCCCTAAACCTTAAACCCGTCATCCCCCAAAAAGCTGAAGCCTCTTTGAAGCCGAGCCCAGGCCACAGTCGGCCCGCGAGCCGCGGGACACCTTCCGGAACACGGGCAGCCAAGGCCTCTTCGTAGGGAATGGGGGATTCCTTTAAGGGTTCCTCTACAGGGTTCTCTTAACGGGTCCTAAAAGGGTTCTATAAGGGGTCTCAGGGTATCTATGGGTTCTGTCTGGTTCGAAGTAGCGAATGGGGGGAGATGGGGTTGTGGGGGACGGGACTACTACAGGGATCCACCCTAGTAAGCAGCCTCTCTCTGAGCCGCCGAAACCCCCGCAACCCCCAAAGCCCCAAGCTGTGCATTGTAGATCCTTTTGGGTTTGGGGGCATCCGGGATAGGGGCTTCAGGGCAGCAAGCCAGATCAAACCTTAAAGTGTGCCAGAAGCAAACCTGGGTAGCAGTAGCCGCGGCAGTGACGGCAACACTAACAGTGGTAACGCTCGTACTAGCAGTAGCTTGAATGGTCATGTATAGTAACGTCAAAGACAATGATGACTCATGTCGAAGTCAATGCAGCAATGGAGTGGCGATGATAACAGTTTTGACAGTGACAGTCAACTGACAGTAGGTTTCATCAAGTACTGCTGATGCTAATGACACCAGTAAGTAAAGCGTTGCTTGCCGTTGCCGTTGCTGTTCTTGTTATTATTGTTGTTGCTGATGCTGCTGACAGGGGCAAATGTAATCCCACTGTAAGTGTTTGACAGTGGTGGCACTATCAAGTTGACGGTGTTGATGATGTGATAATCATGGCAGTGGTGAAGATGAAGATGGGATGATCGCCGTCGGCGCCTGTGGCGATGATGTTGGAGATCTGGGCAATAGTGATGGTATTGGCAGTGCAGCACCGTAGTGTTAGTGACGAACAACTAGCAAGCTATTTGCTTCGACATTCCTTCCCATTGGTTGTCGGACTGATGGATTGATTTGGTCATTCATTCAGTTGTAATTATTACATGTTATTACGTATTCACTCGTTCATACAGGCAGCTTGCTTCAGCAACGAAATTCCCTGTGTCCCTGGTGCAGTTGGATCCGTTCTGGCTTTGGGCGGCAATGCGAAGCCGTCCAATCTACTGCGGCTCAGCTTCCAATGGGGACGAGGGTGGGTGGGTGTGTGTGTGTGTGTGTGTGTGTGTGTGTGTGTGCGTGTGTGTGGTAATTCAGGGAAGAGGGACGGATCCGTCATCTGAGATTCGTCAACGTCGCTGCCACAGAATCTCGGGTTGGAGGTTGAACCCCGAACCCCTACGCAGAGACTCCAATATCCCTTGATTAAGGAATATACATTAAATTGTAGATATGATTTAGTGAATTGTCCTTAATCAAGGGATTTTGGAGTCTCAGGATAATTGCAGCCTTGAACTGGTGTTCGCAATTCTCGAGGCTTGTGAGAGACGACGCCGGGTCCTGAGAGCGGGGTCCGCTTCCGCTCGTGGCTGCAGTCGGTGCCCGAACACATACTTGGAGCTGTATCTTCCTCACAAGGGCCTTATAGGTTTTAAGGGTTTCTTCACTACAAGGGTCTTACAGGCTTTTGACGGCCTTTTTTTAAGGTCTTACATAGGTATTGTCTTCATTGCGATGCCCTGCCCATGGCCAACTTCTGAGCCTGCGAGGGTCCCGAACCGCCGTTTGGCTGGTGAAAGCAACCCTGAAGCCCTGAACCCTAAACTCGTAAGCCCTTAAAGCCACCCAAACCTCCCAAAGAACCCAAAACACCCTCCTAAACCCTAAGCATCCCTAAACCCCAAAACCCCAAAACACCCTAAACCTCTCCGACTGTACTGCAGACGGAAAAAGGCCCTCAAAAACAAAAAAAACAAACCCTAAACCGCTCCCCAGTGTCCGGCGCTGCCCAGAGACTCCAATATCCCTTAATTAAGGAATATTCCTTAAATCATATTAGGGATCCTACTATAATTTAAGGTATATTCCTTGTGGCTCAGGTCGGAAGGTGGGAGCCCCAGAGTCTCAGAGGCACTTTGAATTTTATCTCCAGGCCTTCGGGATTCCAGGAAATCAACTTCTTTGGGGCCTCAGGTTGTAGAACTAGTATGAAGTAGTAGGATTATTGTTTATTATGGTTATTGCTATAATGGTAGATATTACTATTGTAGTTGTTACTGTTCTTATTGTTGTTATTACTGTTATTATCGTTGTTGTCATTGTTACTAGTACCAGTATGAGTGTTATTGAGACTTTTGGCGGTTCTGAGGTTTGAGGACGAATCGGCTGAAGTTCTTAGGGGCGAGTCACGGCATGCAGGCCGCAAGCCGTGGTTGAAACGTGTTAGCATTTGAGGAATCATTGGGCTGTTTGGGAGTAAGGGTTTCAAGGAGGTGTTCAAAGCTCAACCCTCATCCACAAACAGCCCCCGAACACCAAAGCGCGAAAGCCCCGCGGAAAAACCCTAAGCCGGCGAACTGTTGGTTTGTGCCGAGGCCCAAGCCCACATGCTTCGACTTGCCTGATGCACAGTTCTCCTACGGTCGGCATCCCGGGGCAGCGTGATTTGGTGGGTTTTGGGCTTGGCGCCAAGTGTTCGGGCTTTTAGGGTTGGGGGTTGGAGTTCATGAACTCCCAGTGGCAAAGCCGAGTACACTCAAAGGCGAGAGGCAGCGCCAAGTCTTTATAAGCTCGGAAAGTCCGATAGATACATGTAATCAGCAGTATTCGGATAATTATTGTTGAGATATGGGATCGGTATGTATCATTCAGCTGTGGAAAGCAAGACCAAGCAGCAAAATCAATCCGTAAAGAAATTGGGCAATTGAAAAGAAAGGACGGAGGGTAGCTTCAAGCTGGTTCTTCAAACACTGGCTTGAAGGTGGACCTCGCCGTAGTCGTCACCAACCAAAAGACCTTCAATTTTGCATGTTCCTTCCAATCTTGAAGGGCATTTGGCTCAAAGGAGTTGGACCTAGATTCCCAGCAGTCCTCTAAGGAAATGGCTTTGTGCTTGCGCTGGACTCTCCTGACCTTGTGTGCGGCGCCGGTCGCCCTTGGAAAGGAGCTTCGGTCAAAGGACGGCCTTTTCGATACCCTGACCTACCTCGCCCATGCCTTCAAGGAGATCGTTCCAGGCATGGACTCCCAAACGCAAACGATTTCCTTCAAGGATCAGCAAAACCATGACCGGGAGGCCCGGATCTTTGTGCCATCGAATCTCCAAGGCCGCAAGGCCCCTTTGGTGATCAGCTTCCATGCCTGGGGAGCCAACAATCGTTTGCAACAAGCCATGGATCAACACGATGCACAAGCGCAGCAGAAGGGGTACATGGTCGTCTATCCACAGGGGTATGCGTCGGCCAGAGCAGGAGTGATCGCTGGCGTGTCCATTCCCGGAGGGGCTACTTTCAATGCAGGTGGATGCTGCCCCCGTGCCTGCGAGACATATGGCATGGATCTGCCTGGCTGTTCTTGGACCGACACTTGCTACCGTCCGGAGGTGGATGATGTTGGCTTTACCAGAGAACTCGTCAAGTACAGTGATCAGAACATCAACGGTGTTGACTTCAGCCGGATCTATGCCACTGGCATGTCCAACGGCGGTTTCATGTCGCACCGGCTGGCCTGTGAAGCTTCAGACATGCTTGCAGCTATTGCACCGGTGTCCGGTGTGATCAGTAGTCAAGATGACGCAAACACCAAGCTCCCCAAACCCTGGTGGTCTCAGAAGTATAGGTGCCAGCCTGCGCGAAAAGTGCCAGTGCTCCACTTCCATGGGCAGAACGATATGCTGGTGAGCTACGACGGTGGCCTGAAAGGCTTCGGCTTCGGCTACTTCAACCCAGTAAAGGATACGATCGCGAAGTGGCTGGAAATCAATGGTGCTGCAGAGTCCTTCGAGTCGATGCCAATGTCTTACCAGAACCAACAGACCACCTGTTGGACCTCAAGCGGTGTCAATGTGACGCTTTGCAAGGTGGATGACATGTCACACTCTTGGCCTGGCATTCCTCAAGTGGGTGGCTCTGGCATTAAGGCCACGGAGACGAGCTGGGAATTCTTCGAGCAGCACAGGTGCGAGGATTGCCGTCCCTAAACGGGTCACATTTTCTCAATTTTTCCGCCCATGGTCCAGCGTAATTAATTTGATTTTCGGACAAACCCTTGGGACCCATGATCCCTTTTGATGTCGATTTTCTTTTGATGCCTCGTCGATACCACATAAGTCTGGTATGACGTGTATACAGGAACGTTACAGCAACGTTGCTGATTGCAAGTCAGTCGTGACTAAGTAGCAGCTTGCGCGTTCTGCAGACTCTGGCAGCTCCTCGAGCAGCTAGAAAATCCCACCCGAGAATGACAAGATGCAGTTGAAAAAAGCTTTGGCCAGCCATTGTTCCGCTGCTAATGTCTCAGAACCCCAAGACTCAGAAGCCCGTGCGGCTTGGATGCCGGCACATCCTGTCCATGTTGTCGGGTTTAGGGGACGCTTTCTACAGCTCCGAAGTGGTGTCTCGGCGACCGAATCGCATGCCCGAATGTCGTCGGCATCTCTGGCAGCACAAAGCCCTTAAGCTGATCAACAAGGAATTCATACAATCTAGCATGCATCCCTACTATGGTATCTTGAATGAAGAAGAGCCGAGTCGGTTCTTGAGCGATGGCAGAAGCCAATGCCTGCACAGGACGCCCCGGGAATCAAGATCAAGAGGGTGCCCGTGAGGTCGGGAGAGCGTTAGACGTTTTTGGGGCATTAAACATGCTCGGGTTCTGGATTTGGTAAAGCAGCGTGTCTGAAAAACGGGAAGGTCTTCGTAGAGGTTCGTCGCGAGGTGGGTGTGACGGTCTTGACTATTTGCCTCGATTGGCCGCACCAGTCTTCTCATATTGGAGTCGGGCTCTAGTGACTAGGGGTCGCTGTTGTTGATGGCACTCCAATCAAGAATCTGCAGAAAGATCGATGCAGGTTCCTGTCTGAAAAGAAGGGTTCGCACCAGCTTGTTCTTTCTACGTGCGGAAATCCGGATCCGGAAGCCTCAGTTGCTTGAGAGAGGTGTCCATGCGGTGGATTGGCCACACTCCAAGCAAGCGCAACGAGGAGCTCAGCATGCAGAGTCAGAGAGCATTTCAGAAACTTACCCTCCTCGGACTTTGTGAGTTGAGGGAGCAAGAGTATAGGACTTAGGAGAGCAGAGGGATGCAGCGACAGGCGGAAGAGCCGGACTTCGTCTCCGTGAACAGGCCTCGCTGCTCGGACTTTGGTTAGCCGCCTTGCAGCTGCACAGACCTGAAAAGGAAAGCGGCCGTCGACAGGGTCACCAATGCCAAGGCTCGTGGCCGTGGAACGCACAAACTCCTTCGGATGGAGTCGTGACAACCTTCAGACTTCTGACAGGATCTTCGGCAGTACTACCGCCAGGTGCAGCTGGGAAGTCAGTGAAGTCAGTCTGACGCACTGTCAATATGTTCCTAGACGTTGCTCTTGCGATTCTGTCTGCGCCATGGAGGACAGAAGCGGTGTTGTAGGTAGTGCGAAACCAGAGCTTAGAATGGCTACTGCCTTGCTTTCCCCTACCGCAAGCATGAAGCACGCAGTGATGAAGACTTTCTGTGGCAAGGTGCCAGACCCACCACTGATGTCGGAGCGGGACTCGGCTGTGGTAGAATCGGCATCCACCCTGGAATGGCTCTCTGTGTCTCTCTCTGTGTCTCTCTCTCTGTCTCTGTGTCGCTCGCTCTCTCTCTCTCTCTCTGTCTCTCTCTGTGCGTCTCTCCCTGTTTGCCTCTCTGTTTGTCTCTCTGTGTGTCTCTCTGTTTGTCTCTGTGTGTGTCTCTCTGTGTCTCGCTGTGTCTCTCTGTGTCTGTCCGTGTCTCTCTGTGTCTCTCTGTCTCTCCGTCTTGCTGTCTCTCTCCCTCTCTTTCTTTCTTTCTCTCTCTCTCTCTCTCTCTCTCTCTCTCTCGCTCGCTCGCTCGCTCGCTCGCTCGCTCGCCGTCTCTGTCACTGTCGCTTGTCTGTCTTCGTGTTTCTGTCTGTTTGCCATCTCTCTTTGTTTGCTTGCATAGCTGTATATGTACGTGTATATACAGCGTCACATACATCTACATCTTCTCATGAGCTATTTTGGCAGCTGATGCAAAACGCAATCGTTTGGAAAGATGCCATGCGATAGGTCCGCAGCAATCTACAACTCAATTAGTATGATTCATCCCAGAAGGTGTAATGCTGTAAGGCGAGGTCGATCTCCGAGATGTTGGCAGCTTCGGATATCAGATGCATCATATAGCCAGAAGAGCTCTGCATCTTGAGCCACTACCCTTAAGCCTCAAGATTCCAAGACACGAAGAACCCTGGAACCCTCCAAAGTCTACTGTACCAGGTGCCTCTTATCCCTGAACCACCAGGTGCTCAAGTGCTCGAACTTCATGACGTGCCCACACTTTCAACGCCATTTATATCTTCATCTGCAGAGATGCCTTCTTGTTTTACACAGGCATGCATGCATGCATCATGCATGCATTCATGCAATAATCCCAGTAGTGAATTGGCATGATGTTGCATGCTGCATGCTTCTTCTTCTTCTTCTTATCGCCCCGGTATTTTGCCAAGCTGCCGCCTGGAGCTGCTTGAAGCATCGTTTAACCCTCACCCCAAAGCTCCAAAACATACATGTAGAGTGCTGGGGCATCGGAGGCACGTGGTCACAAGATGGCGGGAAAGGCGCAAGAAGGGCCTGCGAGAGTTGAGAATTACCAGGTTCGCTTGTCATCGTGTAGGCCGTGGTCGAAGCCGATGTAAATGTGGTGTCGATGCAGTTGGTTGCTTGCCAGAGTCGTTTAAGGATAATTGTTTGCATCCCACAGACTCGGCCCCCGAGACCTCCTTGGTCCTTCATTGGGACCTTTCACCCTGCCAGCCACTCATCCCCTCGGACGTGATTCCCGAGTTTGCTTACGGAAGGAAGGCCGGGCAGCAACAAGCACGTTCAACCTTCACTACTAATCTGCTTCTGCTCCTCCTCCTACTACTGCTCTTGCTCCTACTACTAGCACCACCAAAACACTACCACTACCATTACAACTACGACAGCAACGACTACTAGCAGTACTACGACTACTGCCACCACCACCGCCGCCGCCGCCGCCGCCGCCACCGCGACCACCACCACCACCCCCACCACCACCACCACCACCACCACCACCACCACCACCACCACCACCACCACCACCACCACCACCACCACCACCACCACCACCACCACCACCACCACCACCACCACCACCACCACCACCACCACCACCACCACCACCAAAAACCACCACCACCAACCACCACCACCACCACCAACCACCACCACCACCAACCACCACCACCCACCACCACCACCACCACCACCACCACCACCAACACCAACACCACGCACCACCACCACCACCACCACCACCACCACCCACCACCACCGACCACCACCACCACCACCACCACCACCACCACCCCCAACCACCACCACCACCACCACCACCACCACCACCACCCCCCACCACCACCACCACCACCACCACCACCACCACCACCACCACCACCACCACCACCACCACCACCACCACCACCACCACCACCACCACCACCACCACCACCACCACCACCACCACCACCACCACCACCCCCACCGCCACCGCCACCCCCACCCCCACCACCACCACCACCACCACCACCACCACCACCACCACCACCACCACCACCACCACCACCACCCCCCCCACCACCACCACCACCACCACCACCACCACCACCACCACCACCACCACCACCACCACCACCACCACCACCACCACCACCACCACCACCACCACCACCACCACCACCACCACCACCACCACCACCACCACCACCACCACCACCACCACCACCACCACCGCCACCGCGACTCTGTCCCTGCTAGTGCTACTGCACCAGTGTTACTCAATGCTTTCAGCATCACTGTTGTCATTGGTCTAGTTCTGGATTTTGACCATTCATTCAACAGCGTTACAGACTCTACAGACAGCAAGCTTGCCAGACATGCGTAGCCGGACCTTGAAGGGCTAGCGCTGCTTCGGCTTTGAACCTCCTTCCGATCACAGCCAAAGGTAGACTGTATGTTTGCCCAACTGACTTCCAGTCCTGGTAGTCAGCGGAATATGGATCTTGAGGATTTCTGGTAGAAGCGACGGATGGGTCTCATGAGGAACTGACCGGCGCAGAAACGGTGGTTCGTGAGCATGCAAGTAACTTGGCTGTTCCTCCAGCAGTGGACCTGCATTTCGGACCAGGTGAGGCCATCGACGCCCATTCAGGAGGCTAGCTCTGGTTCCATGTACGATGCAGCCGCTTGTGAGTTTTCTAAATGCCGAATGCCGTAAAGCCGCCCCAAAGTCTTTCAACCTTTTGAGATGTGATCGCCTGGATGTGTTGCTTTGGCTCTGTCTGCAGCTTTCAGCTCTCCATGGCGGAGGCCCTTAAGTTAAGCATACAATCCGAACCCGCAAGCGCCAAATCCACAATCGTCCAGGTCTTGAACCTAAGTTTCAGATATTTGGTCGGTGTGCTTTAGCTGCGTCCCTCACATGGTACCTTCCAAACACCATGGCAAGCCCTCCACGCCCACGAAAGGGCAACATATGGAAGCCTGAATTTTTCTTAAACCAAGATTGTTCCTTAGAGGCCCTTAACGTGCTTGCGGTAGAATTAACCCCCCCTCCCCCACTCTACTTATTCGCCCCTACTATCCCTCAGAGCACCCCTCATAGTCATCCTTAGCGGAACCCCTGACAAGGGACCCTATTCTCACAAGCAAAGGAAGGCGCCTACTTGGAGGTTCGGGGGTAGTTATAAGTAGGGTTCTAAGTAGGGTAACTATACTTATAACCCATATTCGGGGACTTATAACCCCGCTTATAACTACCCTTGAAACCCTAAACCCCAAACCCTAAATCCTAAACCCTAAACCCTAAACCCTGAACCCCCAAGTAAAGTTAGAGGAATTCGACGTTCGTGCCATGGCGCGGAAGCAGCAGAAGCTCCTGGGCTTCGGCCCTCGCTGGCAGGCAGGGGTTGGAGACTGGGGGAATAGGGGTACCAGTAGTGCTTTGGGGTTGTTTGGGGTTTAGGGCTTAGGGTTCAGGGTCAGAGTCTAGGTTTAGGGTTTTTGGGTAGTGCTTGGGGTGGTTTGGGGTTTAGGGCTTAGGGTTTCGGGTAGGGTTCAGGGTTCAGAGTCCAGGTTTAGGGTTTAGGGCTCGTCGTTCACATGCGGGGGGACTGGGCACGTAGAGTTTCCTTCCGGATCTGTCCTGCAAAGTTCGTAGAGCAGCTTCTTTGTCCGCCTCGGGGTTGCCTGAGCTCCGGAAGCCCTGCTGCCTCTGTTTCATCGTCATCAGACACCAGCAGTGGTTATGGTGATGGTGATGAGGATGCAGGTGAAGATTGCCACAGTCACAGCAGCATGACACGAACCGTAGCAGGTGCACCGGGAATGGAAGACCGGTGTAACTAGGAGCAGGAATCCTCGCTGCAATCAAAAGGTTGCACTTGCAATGACCATACATTCTTAGTGTATCGCGGAGCCCTCCGCATCCTCATCCCGTTGTCGTCCTTCCTGCCGAGACTGCCGACCCGACGGAGTCTCTGACGCGCGAGTGGGGGGCCCATGGTGGGGTTTCGGTCTGGGGGGTTTTCCAGCACCTTCCTCTTGGCGGCAAAGCCAGGAGCACTGTTGGGTTGAGCTTCCGGGCGTAGAATAGAAGGGCACGAAGAGCATTCCTGCGAGTCTATTTCGGAAAGCCACATCTCTTCGCAGGCACGAGGTTCAAGAAGCCCTGCACCAGTTGGAAGAGGCGGGGTGCCGTGCAGGGGCGGCATGACTCGAGTTGCAGAGGGCTGGCCTTTTGTCAAGGCATTATCTCGTTAGGTTTACGATGAGGTCTGCACTGCCGGGAGACAGCCCACGCAACAAGCACCTAGTAGGAGCACGCCCGTGTGCAACCCCAACCTGCATCAGATGAATCTGAACTTCCCGTCGTAGGTCTATCGGAAGCAGCGGCAAGTGCAAGATCAGGGGCACGCCGAGTGCGGCGACCCCAGGGCCCAAGCTTCAGTCCCGATGTTTGGGTTTTCCGGGAGGTGGTTGGAGTGTTGTGCTCAGGTGCAGAGTTCAAGGCCACAAATCACGAATCCGAACACGGACGCCTACTGAGCCCGCTTCCAAAGTCCTCTTCGGCCCCTAGGCGCCGCTGACTTCCAGCCAACAAAGCAGCGAGCCGTTCTCACGAGGCGCAGCGAAGAGGTTTCGGGTTTCCGGATTCAAGATTAGGGTTCCAAGCTCTTTTGAGATCTTTGCCGACGTTATTCATGTGTCGTGATAGATGTGCAGAAGCACCCGCCCCCTCGCGCTCGGAATGAAGGATGCGTCCAAAGCCCTCGCTCAGAGGCGGCGCGGGCAGACCGTGGAGTCCTTCGGAAAGCGGGAGGAGCACCTGAAGCGGAAAACGAGGCGGGGGGATGTCCTGTTCATGGCGAGGACGGCGAGTGGGTGCTGGAGCCGGAGGAGATGCAGCGAGCTGAGCGCAGCTTTGTTTCTCGGCTCGGCATCCTGCCCGGCTAAGGCCGAGGCTGAAAATTTTAAGTCCAGTCGTGGAAGGCCAGGCGGCCAACATGGATCCCTATTTAAAAAATACGGCACCTATTCTTTTAGGGTACTCAAAAAGGGACCCTAATTTTGACAACCACCCATGGCGACCCGAAACCCTGCAGCGCGGTCGAGGCTATACCTGGCAGAACGGGGGACCCTGGCAGTTTCCGAGGAGGCCGGCTTAAGGATTCGGGGTTTGAAAGGGATTCTGATGGAGGGGCATTCGTCTCCTGCTGGCTCCGGGGTTGTCGTAGGACGTCGGTCCCCAAACCCTAAACCCTAAACCCTAAACCGTGGCTCCTAAGCCCCTCTTGGTAGATTGGGCGCTCTGGGAGAGGCTGAGAACGGAAAGAGGCGGCGCCTTGCCATCCCGGAGCTCTACAGCGCTGGCCCAAGGGAGCTTTTGCGAATACTTGGAGGGAGTGCATGGGGATACCCTAAACCCTAAACCTTCGTGATCTTTGTCCTTTGCCTGGAGCTAGGAAGGTCGCAGAAGCCCGAAGAGTCTCTGTGGGAAGTTGGTGTCTAGCCCCTCGCTTTACATCAAGCTCGCTTGAGCTGCCAGGTAGATCAAAAAGCAAGACGACATCACAGCGAAACGCTATCAGCTCGAATACTAGTGATGATGCGAGATATGTCATATTATGACTGACCAAAGCACGTGGCAATTCTGAGGCAAAGTTCTGACCAGCCCCGCTCAACTAGATGCAGATAGCTACATGGCCGGTGCCCGAGTGCTTCTGCCCAGCCTTTGTTATTGGACATTTTTGTATCATGTCCATAGGTCTAAGGTTTAACTTAGAGTTTAGATCGTGTTTTCCGTACAGGGCTTCAGTCCCAGGGCCAGTTTTGGCCTCATCTTCGGCAGGTGTACTCGCACCTGCGGCGGTCGGGCTATACCGTGACGCGTCTTCCTGGCTCATGTTGCTCATCGTAGACTTACCCTAAGCCCTAAGTGTCACCAGCACGCCCACTGTCTTCGAGCGACTTTGGAGAATGCTTGAAACACATTTTTTTGGTCACATCCATGTGGGCGCAGCAAAAGCCCCGAAACAGTGGCAGCCGGTCGGGCCGGTCCGTCCCGTTTGGCATCCCGGAGAAAGTGCACCTGCGCACTCCAAGGACATCGAAATCGACACATCATGTCAGTAGGCTTTGCAGCTAGACCAGATTGATCTGACTTTGGTTCCCGAAAACCGCCATACTTGGACAAACGACGGCTGTACCATGAGCGATGCTAAACTATGCTACTCGTAGACTCGTAGAGTTAAGTTAAAGAATCTGAAGAGTCGATGCAGGTACCTGAGCCCAGCATCGCAGGATCATATCACACTCATCAGACAGGTGGCTTTGTTGGCTTGACCCCAGTCGGTGACACAGCAGGCCCATGTTGGCACAGAAGGTTCAACACGAAACTCGCCAAATGAAACACGCCGTCAGAATCAGACGAGATTCGAATCCCGTTATCCGAGAATCCTGCAAGTACAGCGTCCACCATGATCGCAGGCAAATCCGCACCGCTTGACGTCCCCAGCATGCGAGGTCCAACGGCGTCGCGGGCATGGCGGCACGCACCATTGTACCTATCCATGCTTTGGGTCTTTATGCAATTCGGAGAGCTGGAGCAATGCCGACTGAATGCCAACCATTCCCGCATGCCAACTCCATGCCCATGTCTCTCAACATGCCAACGAGGTCTAGCAGTCAAGTTGCTAGGAGTACACCATAGTACGCCGTGTGAAAAAGAAACACTGGACCAATGACAAATGAGCCGACCGCGATGCCAACGATCAAGTTGAATTAGACTGCTTGAAAAGCCACTGCAGAAATGTGATCCCAGCGTCCCAGGCTCATATCACACTCATCAGACAGGTGTCTGTGTCGGCTTGCGCACTGTCCGTCACCCTTTGGTGTCGCTAACGCCGGTGTGGACAGGGACTTCCACACACCCACATCCCGACACACATGCTTCTTGTTGGTGCTCTGGGGAAGAGGATGTAGGCTGCTGGACATGTCTTGTCTGTGCAGTCCGCCAGGTTCAGATTTGCAGAAGTCGCCCGGCGTGCAAATGGTGGGCCGGAGAACTGAGACGGGCATGAGTGACAGGCCCTTGCAATTAGTTGAGGGTCATGTTCCAATCATGTCCCGCCCGAGTCTTAGATTTAGACAGGGCTGGAAACATTAATCTGAAGTCACATCGCGCAAAAAGGTGACACCCGAACCTAAGCCCGATGTCCCATGCCCCACCGCTGCCGAGGCAGCTGTGGCGTGTGGCAGCTTCGGCAGCTGATTGCCCGTCGGAGGTGCTGGTAGTGAGGCCTGGGAGCCGTTATGTGCAAACATGTATGGAACCAGAAGGCATTTTTTAGAAAGGCAAAGGTTCATCTAATGAACAGTGTGTTTGTAAAGTTTGTGCAACATTCTGAATGATATAGTTCCAGTATCTGCATTGAATACAAGAAACGGCATTTCAATTGTGATCATGTGCAGGTTTTTGAGAGCATTTTTTCTACCACGTGCCGAAGCACATGGCAAAGTAGAGCTCCTGATCCTGGCGCTTGATCATCCCATGATATCCCGCCACGTAGCCAGGCCTGATGAGACAGTTCTGCAGTGCCTTCTTGGACAGACCGCAAAAGGAAGCTGGGAAGGACTGCTGAACAGAGAATGGGACTGCCGGCTTCTTGGCATCTCGGGTTCCTTCTCGTTTCCGATGGAAACAGGTATTGCTTTAGGCTGACTGAACATCGAATGCAGGAAGCGTCAGTGATCTTCATGCACGGGTTGCGAAGGCTCGGCCGAGTGGATGGGCGTGTTTCTGAAGCCAGGGGCTGCAGGGTGTAGTCCTCTGGAACCTTCTCAAGCCAGCCCTGTCAAAGTCGTGCTTTTCCCCCCTTCGACCGCCAGGGCCTTGGCGTGGCGGTGTCTGCGGCTGCCGCTCGCTTGCACTTGTCATGTCTGCTGCACCGTCCAGAATCGACGCAGCGTTTAGCCGGTTTGGGAAGGAAGCTAGATAGTTGCCAGCACGTAGCGCGAAACCCCCCAGGCCCGGAATCGTGCCGAACCGCTGTACACAGACATCATCCTCAGACTTAAGCATTTTACTCCAGAGTCCCAAACCACAAAACCTCTCACCCCGAGCCCCAGCCTTCAACTGCAGGAGGGGGGCAGCCCAGCTTTTCTGGAGCTTTTGGCGTCCGGGGGCCCGGTTAGCTGACAGCGTAGGAGCTTCTCGGGTGATGGGCAGCAGTTCAGATTGAACATGAATCCTGCTTTTTGTGAGTTTCTTGATTCAATATGATTTTGCTTCACCAACACCAAAGTTACTTGGTGGTGGGAAGTATGAAGGCGTGGAATGGCACTCGAAGCAAGCCCGAAAGGAAACTCTTTGACAAGCGGCTTAAGGAACTCCAAAAATCCATCCACGGTTTAGCTGATACCAAACCCTGGTACCCTGCGAAACCCGAATCCCCTTCAAGCCCTAAACACGCCCTAAAGATCGTAAAGTTGAAAATCCCGAAATCCTAGATCCCAGAAGCCCTAATTGCACCACAATAACGAAAACCCAACCCTAAATCCCAAAGCCATAAAAACCCGAAGCCCTGAAGCGCTGCAGCCCTAAATCCTAAAGCCCCAGAGTCTTCAAGCCCAAAACCCCAAAACCCGGCAGGCCCCTTAAACCCTACACACCCCGAGCTCCAAAACCCCATTCTAACTGTTAAGGCCGCTATATTGAACCCTCAACACCCCCAAGCCCTACTTGGAGGTTCATGGGTAGTTATGAGCGGGGTGAGAAGTCCCCGAATATGGGTCATAAGTACCCTATAAGCATACTTACCCTACTTATAACCCTACTTACAACCACTTAAGTAAAACCACCATAAAAAGACCCTGAACCCCCCGGGCCACCAAGGCCCCGCCGACCTGGTGAGGAGGCAGACAGCGGCCAAGGACCCATGGATTCGATATTAAGGTTTGGGGATTAAGGGTTAAGGGCTTAGTTCGTGTTCATGAGATTTCTAACACTCAGAGTAGTCACTGATATGGACAACATTAATCTTACGTATCATGAGTTGTTCAGCGTGTTGATGACGATGACGATCACTATGCTTTCGGATTTTCATTTACGGCCAAAAAGTTCTTGGGGTCAAGGTTGGGGGTGCGGGGTGGGATACGAATTACGCTTGAGGCCAAGCGTTTCGGTTTTCTGAAAAAGCTCGAGGGCCGTCGCCAGACGCTAGGGCCGCTATAGGGGGCACAAGCCATCCGTGCTATTGGGGGTTCTCCAAGTAGGAAAGAATACCAATCTCGAGATAAGATAAGAGAGGATCCTTGTCTCAGAACCCGGAGCCATGAGCCCCAACCCAGTAAACTTGAAACACCACCTACACTGGAAGGCCCGTCAAATCACGAGCCCCGAGCCCTCACCTGAAGAAACACCAAATTCGCGATTTCAAATCTCAAGAAATTCGGCTAGTTAAGGATTGAAACCCTTAGGGTTGAGTGTTTGGGCATGCAGGGTTTGGGGATTTGTAATGCATGTTTAGGAACCCATATGTCGAAGACTATACGAGTTGCTGTAATATGCCCCGAAACCCATTCTCGTCATTTAAACCCCGACATCATCCAGGCACCGGGGCAGCGGCAGCCTCCTCCGACTCCGAGGAAGCTTCAAATGAGGCAGCCGCAGTCGCTGCTTTTCGGCCTCACTGCTTTTTCCGGAAACCCTTAGTGTCGAGGAGTTGAGCTCGGACAGAGTTTCTTTTCTGGATTGGGGTTCCAGTTAGTTGGTTAAACTCTTGTCATGTCTGCCTTCAGAGTATTCCGACACGATTGCCAAAGTCCTAACGGGCTGTAAGGCTTCGAAGTAGTGTAGAAGCCTAACAAATATTATCCAATGAATAGTATTCCTTAGAGTTCCTTACTACAGTCATGCTCTACGAGAGCCCAACAACCCATTCTAATTCCTAAGGACGCTACGTTAGCAAACATACGCCCCCCCGCGTAGTCTCGTCTATTCATAGTACGTATAACGTACCCCAAAGCCCCAGTCAGTCGGGCCTCACCAGGGGTGCGAGGGCAGCCGCCTTCCATTGCCCAGTCAGCCCTCGACCTCGCAGTTGAACGAAGAGGCTGAAGGGCTTTAGGCTTTGTTGATGGTTTGGGGTGTGTTGAAGATGCCTTCAAAGTAGTTCTCGGGAGCATCGTGATGGTGTGTTTAGACACTGTTGCTACCAGTCCACTTGGTTTCGCAAGACTCAAGACCTCCTCGAAGGCTCTGGAACCTCGCCAGCGCTACGCCGCCATGCTGCAAAGGATCGCGCAGGCGTCGCGGTGCGGGTGCTTCAGTCGCTCTTTGCCTCGTGTCGCCAGGCTACGAGTACCGCGCGCCGCTATGCTGTTCAGCAGCCATACGCCATACGCTCATGGTAATAAGCAGCAACCGTGAAGCAGACGTACACAAGTTTGAGATGAAGGCATTCGTACGAGTTTGCATAGATGTGCAATACAACCTGGCCACGAGCCAAGACCACTACAACTCACAGCTTCCCGCTCAGATTCCAAGTTCTCGTGCAAATAGCCTAGAGGCCCAAATCCCTCGAAGTGAAGTCCAAACAGCCCCACAAGCACCGACGAAACTCCAACTAGCAACCTTCGCGGCCGTGCTGCGACGCTGTGGGCAGCGCCCGAGGCTCCTTGTTCTGCATTACTCCTACTCTTCCAGGTTCCGGGCTTTGGTGAAATGCTGTTCGGGATCCAGGGCCAGTGGTGGCTGCACTCTGAAGGACTCGAATCCCAAGTCTAGAGGACCCACGAAGCGCTGGAAGCCGAACGACCTTTCGAGCAGAAGCAGTTTCACCTGCCCTTGAGGCCCAGACACCGCCACAAAACTGATGCCAGAAAGCAACTGCCCTCTGTAGCCCTGAGCCCCTTATTTAAGAGGCACCCTCTCACCGTGGCGCTCCGGTTCAGGCTCCGCACACCCCAAGGGTCGAGGGGCGGAGGGCAGCATGGGCTGGAGGCTGGGGCGTTTGCATGGGAATTTTGAAGACTCATGGAAGCGTTTCCGTAAAGGGCTTCAGGGTTCGGCAAGATTTGCGGAAGTGTTTCAACACAGAAAGGGATGCTGTGACCCCATACGGTTTGGAGTCCATTTTGTTCAAGGTTTGGGGAAGCTTCGACGAGCCCCGAGCCTGGGTTGACCCTTGGACCGGAGCCCTGAGACTGTTGCAGATTGAGCGGGAGCTTGCTACAAGCGTTGCAGCAGCCCGAAGACCCCAAGCAATTGAAACTGAAGCCCTAGATTTGCATAAATCCCGAACTCAAATCCTGATGGCTTCAGCCTACGTGATCTACCCCCAACCCTCCGGTAACCCTCCGCAGCCCACCCGAAGCCCTGAACCGTAGAGGGCCCTAAACTCTGCATGACTCGCAACCTCAAGCCCGAGAGGCCCGAGCCCAGTCCCAGAGCCTTGCAAGCTGTGCCTGGCAGGTGGTTCCTCCCCTTTCTGCCTGCAGCTACGGGCCAGGTTGGGCCTCATTCTTCTGGCTTTTTGGGTGGAATGTTGAGGGTTCGGGGTGGAAGGGCTTCAGCGTATGGTTGCTCAAGAGCTCTTGAATGGGGGTTCGGTCTCGGGGTTCGAATTGTAAATGTTAAGTTCCACCACATACAACATGGGGGCCTGTAATTTCGGATTGGTACAAGAGTATGTCGCTTCCGGGACTCTAGATCAAGCCTGTTCTACTTGGAGAATGACTGTTTGGCCTAAAATCACAACTACATCATAAGTTTCTCCTGGCGGGGTCCAGACTGCTGGATGGGCACGTGCATGAAGACCCCTGCTTGTTCTTGGCGCCAGCAAACGCAGGGCGTACTGAACCTCGTCCTGTCCCGCTACACTGATGCCAACTGCATCTTGCCTGCTAGACTGGTAGATGCTGCAGGGATCTGCAGGGTCGAATTGTAGGTTTGCCCGTAGTCGGGGGGTCCAGTTGCTTCAGGGGCCCGGCAGGAGTCGAGCCAGAGAGTGGCAGGTGGCAGAGTTGACATGACAATTCCTTCCAAGGTTTCGATTGAAGCGGTACGGTGAACGGAAAAGAGTTGTGATGTCGAGAAGATTCTTGATGGGATAGTTTCTTTACCTGAGTCTGTACCGGTGGTTCATGCTTGATCTGCTTGCAGAATATTGAAGTGTGGCACAGATGCCACTCCATCTGAGCTAGGGCAATGTCAGTGCGATGACAAGTCAAAATCCGTGGCAACTTTTCAAGGGTTTTGTTCAGTCTTCTCTGCTAAAGAATCTGAGGTCAGA